GTCCCCTGGCATCTTCCTGGGTTGGTGACAGCCAGCCTTCAGGCCCTCACCGGGGTAGGTCACGGTGTGGGATCAGGTCAGGACAGGCAGGAGCACGCTTTGTGGTACTTCGGCTCACCTGCAGAGATCTGTTGAGCCTTTTGATCACCATGTGTTACCGTACGTGCATCAGCAAGGGTCCTGGTGGTCACGCAGGGCCACATCCTGCTGGCATTACAGAAGGGGGAGGGTGGGAACCCGCTGAAGGAAGTATAGTAACATAGTTCAATAGTTTCTGATGGTAAAATGCCTAAAGGACCCCAGCTATTGGATGGAGGAGGACTGGTCCCTCACTCTCACTGGGAGCTGGCCTAACGCGTTCCAGACACCAGAGTGGACAGATGCCACAGAAACCAGTAGACCAGTCTTGGCAGAGGGGCAGGCTGGCATCTGCCAAAGCTGGACCCCCACCTTGTGGTGGCTTAATAGAAAAAAGATCATCTCCGCTTAAAGAAACTCATTCCTTTTTGAAGTAAAAATCCCTCAAAGATGATTTTCCTGGAAAGGAAAAAAGAAGTGTTAGAATCCTTTTCAGAGTTTGTCATTTAGAAGTTTCATTTGAACATTCAAATATAGTGGTGACTCGGTTCACGAACTCGATTCTTTCCCTGGTTCTGGTTGCAAATGGAATTAAACAAGAACTGAACCAAATTCAGTGGTAAGTCCAGTGGTGCCCCTACTGAGCAATCCGATTCTGCACCATTCAGTTTGGCCTCTGACCAGAATCTTGGAGAGAACCAAGCTTTTGAACAAAGTACCCCTTTATTCACCCAAAGATTTAACCATCCTGCACAGAATAAAAAATTAGCCTGTGACATTCAGAAAGAAAATCCATGATTACATTTCTAGTCTTTATTTGTTATGAATAGAAAGTATCCATGTCACAACCCCTAACACAAGAAGATCATATTTATAATTCATGTGACTAAAAGGTATTTTTATATCTTGGCAAAAATACTATTCTTTGCAAAACACAAATTATATTTTCAGTGTGTCTTAATCTTATGGCATTAGAGGGTCTTTTGAAGTTCTACAAATCCAATTTTTTTTAAAAAAAAAATGTCAAAATTATACCTGCATGAGAAACTCAAAACAACTACCAAGAAGACTAGAAAACACTTTGCCCAAAGAATTTAAATAACTCAACAGACCTTTGCTTTGGGACATTCTGACAGACACTGGGATCTCAGAGCTTGCTGGGCCTTCTCACATGAGTGGAAATGGAGTCACCAGGGCCCCACCCAGCCCAGTGAGCCCCACTGGCCACCCCTGTGGTGACACAGCGTCTTCACTGTGCCCTCACGCACACACCGCTAGTCCTAGCTCCTTCCGTGTTTCACTGGGATATCACAGCTGTGCAAGACCTCGGCTGGTAAGGCCTGCTTCCCCTGATATATCTAAGTTATTAAGACTTTTCAGTACAGTAGATTTATGGTTGTCCCTAATAACTGACGCGTAAATTTAGCCTAGTAATTACTTTTCTAAATTTACCTCAGTGATAGTGCTTAGTATTTACTGACTGTTTTGTCTGCCAGAAATCATGTCCAAGTCCTTTATGTACATCAGCTTATTTGGACCTTATTTGAATAATTAATTCTGTGAGTCAAATGCTACTTATTATTTCCATTTAATAGATGTAGAGCCCAAGTGCAGAGTTACGTAATTCCTCAAAGTCATGCTCTGGGTATAGCCTTGTAGATCATATTTTTAAACCTAAATTGCTCTGTTAATAAAAGGGAAGGTCATGGGAAATCCTGCTCTGTAGCAGTTGAGTGTACTTGAAGTGAAGCTCACAGAACTTGGATAATGTTGGACGAGCCACGTCTGTGGTGATTAGCACTTTACACACACGTTAATGCCTTTGCCCTTCATTCCAAGCCTGTGGCATAGAAGCCACCATTATTTCTGCTGCATGGAAAACAGAGAGAGAGAGAGAGAGAGAGAGAGAGAGAGAGAGAGAGACTAAGTAGACGGCCTGTGGCCACCCGGCTAGTACACGCTAGAAACTCCCGAGCAGGAGTACCTTGTCAGTTATCACAATGATTCCAACCTAGTAGCCCTGCCGCTGTTGTTTGCCGCTGAAAAGCTGTTCCATCCTCCTAAATCTCAGCAACTTCATTTACAAGTACAGGTGGTGATCCCATGGCTTCAGAGATTCCCATTGACCAGGCCCAAAAATTCCTGCCAAGTCACTTAAAGAAAACTTGCTTCTGCCGCTCCAAAGACTGCAGCACAAGCTCCAGCTTTGCACCTGGCTGCAGATTGTGATATTTCTCTGCATAGCGCTGGGAATGGTTCTGGCAAGGGGCCTACTGGGAAGATTAAGAGCCGGTACCTCAACGGTCTCTGTAAACGTGAGCAACATCTATCTCAGCCTCTGCTAGTGAGACCACATCACCCAGAAACTGAGAATCCTGTCTCTGCCATTCACCAGCAGAGTCGTCTGAGGGAACGACTCCGTCTTTCTGACTTCAGGCCTCTCCCGTGCGATGGTAGCAACGACCATCCTACTTCAAGAGAAGTGCTGTGTAGATTAACTGAGATACAAGTCATGTACGTAAACCTCAAAGAACAGCACGTGGCCCACAATAAACAGTGAGGAAAACTTAGTGTATCACTGCGTACGATCTCTGCTCCTAGGAAAGTTAAGACTATGAGTTCCTATAGTCAGGACTGCAGATGATTCCTCCTGAAGTGTAAGGAAATCCCAGACCTCTGTGAAGACTCAGAAAGCTGAGGTGAATTTTTGTTACTTTGGGGTACACTGCTCACTGACTAAAATAGCTATGATTTGATCCTAAAATGTGCTGGAGATACTTAATTTCAGGGTCCTATGGATAAGATCAGCAAAAGCCAGAGGAATTTATATATTTAATCTGATTAATAGTGTTAGGCAGTCAGTATCATTAAGTATAGACAGTTCTCTAGACTGAAATTTCGAGTTTGTAAGGTATTATCTGAGCACCTCTCTTCAATTAAGGTGAGAGAGGGGCCTGATGACTTGCCAAATGTCATTTCAGTACATTTGCTGAGGACTGGAAGCAACACTCTATAACCTGAGGACCTGGTTTTCCTTTCACAAACTATATTCACTCAGTATTAAAAATTACATACTAAGTAGGATAATGGAGGAGAAAACAGGGAAATTTGACTTTTGTTGCTGTTATTGTTGTCGTTGCTGTTGCCTGGAAGTCTAAAAATGCCTTGGCACTGTTGAAATTTAATACTGCCTGGAGGTCCTGTGTTGTGGCTATTAGTGTAAACTCACTTTTAGTCCATAGAAGAGCTCAACAAGTTAATCGAGAGCTTAAAGTGAGTCATTAGCTTAAAGCACATCCAATGGCAGGGGGGATTAAGCCTTTAAAAATTATTACAGAAAATTCACCAAAGGAAATCAATGAGGTCTATTCACTCTTTGCTAAGTTGTATGCAAATATGATATAGTTGATTGTCTACCGGCAGAACCCAGCGTCCTGAACTTCAGCAAAGCTTTCAGAGCTGAAGGGGATCACAGAGATTACATGCTGCACAGAGGCCCAGAGGGATTAAGTGATTTGTCCAAGGTTATCCAGATAATGAGTGGCTACTCCAGCTTTCAGCCAACTGGAGTCCAGGGCAGGCCACCTCTTCCACAGTACTCATGGAGCGACCAATGGGAATCATTGTGGTCGAAGCCACCATGCATAGAGCACAGCCTGGGCTCAGTGCATTCCTGGGCTCTGTACATCTAACTCCTCCAACCTCCCCAGGGATTCCAGTGCCCTCTCCCTGTGAAGCACGCCTTGATCTCTTCATTTGTAGATCAGATGGCTGAGACCCCATGTTGGGGCCACGTTCAGGCTTTCACCACCAGCAGACGCCCAGAGCTCAGATCCTACTCTTAGTCCTGGATCTGCATACTCCGTGGGACCAGTCGCTCCTCTCTGACTGCATTTTCTCCTGCTTTTCCTTCCCAGTCCACCCTTGAACCTCCCACCAGGACACTTCTGCTCCACAGACTTGGGCCCAAATGGCCAAAAGCAGGTGACACCTTTGCCAAGATTCTCAGCTCATGAGGAAAGGAGAGACACCAGGATTTCAGTTAATTCTTTGTTGCCTGTTCTTGCAAATCAGCAGGCTGGCTTTTAAAAGCATCAAGTATAAACGATTTGCCAAAGTAATAAAACACTGTGTTTTGCCTACAGATTTAAGATCATAAATTTAGATAACATTTAGGCCGAAGTCAGATAGTGAAACCCAAGAAGTTGGGAAAAGAATATATTCTATAAGTTAATGTTTTTAGGTTAACTAGAAATATTATAGAAATGTGCTATTTGAAACTTCATTCTACTTGAAAAAGAAATGACAGTAGTACTCTAGGTTTTTAAGTGAAAAATATATTGGAAATTGATGTACTCATATTTAGGGAGAAGATCGCTACGGTCCTAAGAGCGATACCACAGCACACCAGAGTGACCTGGGTGCCTTAGGAGCTCCCAGGCAAAATGAAGCAAGGTTATGGGTAACTGTTTGGAAATTTCTTTTATTAAAAGAATTTTAAATGCTGCTTTCAGTACAGGTGTGATAATACTCGGTAAAGCATGGTGTGGTTTGTGTGGTGAGCTCGGGAACGTCACCATCCAGCAGCTCCTGCGCCGTCCACTCTGGACACCAGACCCAAGGAGTACAACGCAAATACCCCTTTGAAAACATAAAAGGCCCCTTAGTCAGGGAGCACCTGAACAGAGCGCGCAAGGCAAGGGGTGCGCTCTTCCTGCATGACTCGTGCTTTTGGCTTCGACTTCGTTTAGAAAGATCAATTCAGAGAGAGCTGGGCTTCTGCGCTCCGCAAAGGGAAGAGAAGAAAAGCTTGTCATTCACAAGCAGCTACAGAGGAAACTAGAGGCAGAATATAGGGGTCAGGAAATTTAGGGATCTCCATAAAAGATTCCAGTAAAGTGCACAGTTCCTGTCAAAAATATATTATTTTGAGCCTAAGAAAATGAAGAGATTTTTATCTAACAAGCTAGATCGCTGACCTTTCTAATGCATTTGGTTTTCGTGGGCCATACAATCACCATCGGACATAAAGACTAGACTGCTTTAAAACAAAAAACAAAAAAACTTTTGCTTGGAGTTATCTACAGAAATCTTGCGCAGGACTCAAGGATCACATTCTGCAGCTCTTTGGATATGGAATGATTTCCCAGATCAGTCCGCAAGGGAGTCAAGGGCCGCTGAAGCACTGACTGCTCACTGGAGTGGGCGACGGCCCATGCCCTCCCTCCTTCGCTCTGGCTCCCCGTCCCTAGTCGCCAGTGCTTTCTTCTCCTTCTTCTACCCCCACAGCTCTAGACCGGGAAATCATGAAGAGTTTCTCCTTGTTTGTAAACTGCCTCTGCACCCGCTGGGATGGTGCGGCGGGGGGTGGCTCTTGGCTGGGATCCCCCGAGGGGCTCTGCTCGGCCCCCACCTCGGAGGCAGCCGCACCGTCTTGCCTGTTACTGGTCACTGAGTCCACTACCAACTCCACGGAGGTGCCGGTCTCCCGCAGGAGGGTGTAGCTCTTGTTGCTGCCGCTGGAATGGTCGTCCGACGGCGAGCTCCGCGAGCCCCGTCTGCTGGCGCAGGGCGATTCCTCCCCGCGCAAGGGAGGCGAGGGGGTGGCGGCCGAGTCCCGATGGGTGGAGCCGGGCTCTGAGCCCCGCTGGCAGGGCTGTGGCTCCGGCGACGGCGGGGCGCAGCAGTCTGGGAGCCCGCTTGTGCTGCGGCGCCGCAAGGCTGCATACCTGCCGGTCCTGGGCGGGTGGCCGCCCTGGGGCTCCGCTGTGCTTGCGGTATCCACGCCCTCGGCCTCAGCCAGCGCACCTTGCTGCCAGGGCGCGCCACCCTCGGCGCCGCGGAGGTCGGTGAGGCTTAAGTCAAGCGCGCTGCCCCGCGGGAGCTCCCCGGAACCACGCTCCCCGGGCGCCCTCCGCCAGCTGCAGCTGGCGCCCTCTGCGTCCCCATCCTGTTCGCGGTCCCCGGGCAAGGGCAGCAGCGCAAAGGCGCTCAGTGAGGAGCCCACGAGAGAGCTAGCGGTGCTCGGGCGCCCCCAGCTGCCAGGCGGGCTGCAGGGCGCCGGGCTGCTGCAGCCGCTGGCGACTGGGGTCTCCGCGGTACGGCGACGGCCGGCCACACTGGCACGCTCCCGCCAGATGCTGTACACCGCCTCTGCCAGGCTCGGGGGCTCCGGCGGGCAGCGCGGGGACGAGGCCAGGTCCGGCGGGGACGCCGCACGGGGGCGCCACGCGCCGCGGGCCAGCAGAGTCGCTGCACCGAAGGCGTCGCCCGCACTTGGCGTCCGCTCCAGGCCGCGCGGCTGCACGCGGCCCAAAAAGCCATTGAGGGGAACGGGCCCTGGGGGCGCGGGCGTGGCGGCGGCGGCAGCGGCTGGGTCCTTGGCGCGCAGGCTGTGTACGTCGATGACGGTGGAGTAGAGGTCCCGCAGGTTGATGATCTTGGTCTTCTTGTCGCGGTTCTCGTGCAGCACTGCGTTGGCGCAGATGAAGAGGAAGATACCGATGCCCATGACGAGCGGCCCGAAGACCTTGAGCTTGTCGGAGTGCAGGTAGCCCGAGAACACTCGGAAGAAGAAACCCACTGGAGCAGGCGAGGACCCGCCAGGCGCGCGCGTGCTGCGGGGCACGCCCACCGGGCTAGAGGAGGCGCCCCCTGGGGGACTCCGTGACGCGACCCGGCTGCTGTTGTTGGCAGGGGCTCTGTGGCCGGTGCCCGCGAGGGGCAGCGGTCTGCTCCCCTCCCTGGAGGCCCCGCTGGCTTTGGGCCAGTAGCCCACCACAGCCAGGGCGATGCCCACCAGCAGCACCAGGATCCCGCACAGGGCGATGAGCCCAGAGACAGAGCAGAGCTTCAGCTTGCCTTTCACTACCACCACGTCGTTCTTGCGCCTCTTTTTGGCTTTACGCTTCCGCTTGGGCGCCTGGCCCGGGGGGCGCAGGGGGTCCTGCTTCCGGGCGGAAATCCTCAGCAGGCCGCCGGTGGCGATCATGGTGAAGTCGCGGCGCGCGAGGCCAGCCCTGGGCGCCCGGCGGAGGCTCGCGCAGGGGGCCGCCTGCGCCCACTAGCTGCTCCGATGCCGCCTCCTGCTGCGGAGCAGAGGGAGACAGTCAGGGTTGGAAGCTAGGCTGCTGCGACATTCCTTGCCCACAATCCTACGCCCGGGCGCACCTCCCACCCCCAGGACCTCTCAGTCCTCCTCACTGGCCAAGGACCGGTGCTGGGACGGGGGATGCGTGGAGAGTCAGGGACTGGGCGCTGTTGCAGCAACTTAACGACAGGTGGTGCTGAAACAGTTGGAGGGAAGCCTCTGTCTGCCCCCTCCCCACCTCCTGCGCGCTTCCCCCAGGTAATCCCAACCGCGTTTTTTTTCAAACCTCTGGCTTCCTGCCAGCTGGGCTCTGTGTGGGGGACCCAAAGTCGTGGTGGAGGGTTTCCCTGGTATCACTGGCTAAAATCAGAGACTTTCCCAGAGGGGGAAAGGGGCCACAGGAGTGTCACTAGCTAAGCCAAGGACTATCAGAGTGGGCCTCAAGTCACTAAAACAGTCACAAAAGTTTCTCCTGTCCAAAAGGAAAAAGAATTCACCTCACTGGATGAAAGGAAAGGCCAGAAATGCAGGGAGGCGGCTTAATTACTCCAGATACTTAAGGGAGTTCACGGCTGAGGAGAGACCCAAAATGTTTTAATATTTCCCCATAACAAGTCCCTGCACCCAAGTTGCCTGTCTCAGGCTCTGGTTCCTCCA